GCTGGGCACCTCTGTCCTGCAGGAGGAGACGGTGGTGGGGACGCCACGAGCACCCCGTGTCCCGGCGGCGGTGCAGCACCAGGGCACAGGAGCGCCGAGGGGCCGCGGGCGGTGGACTGCACCGGGTGCCCGCAGTCAGAGCCCAGGGCAAGGGCCTGCTTACAGCTGCTTCTGTCTGGTTAGGGAAAAGAGCCTCAGGCCTTCATTCCAGCTCTGCGCCTGACTCCATTCCAGAACCTCCTATTGTGGGCTGCTGTTACCAGAAAAGTTACAGATACACCACTGTAAGAAATGCAACTCTCTCACTCAGGATTGATGGGAAGGATACCACTGCTCTCCCGCACTGCTGCAGTCACACATCACATGTACACCTGTTACACACAGGACGGAAAAATCCTTACACATCTTAAACATGAAAAAAATTCATTAGGCATAATAGATTTAGAAGCATCACTTTTTTTTTTTTTAAACTCCATCAAGGCTTTTCAACACACATGCTCATTTGCCAAAAATCACCAACTTGCAATCTGTAGTTTAACAGCTAAGTTCCTGGTTACCTCATCCATTATTGTATATGTCATCATGGAGTGCATGGGGTGTCTTTGTATGATACCAAGTAATTAAACCTGTTTAGGTACAGATTTTGACAAGCTTCATTCTTCAGTGATCACTAGAAGATCCACTTTACTGTGGACAGTGTTTTCTCTGTGAGCCCTTTATGCCTAGTCATTGGTGTTCTTGCCAATCTTTTTTTCCACACTGGCAGCAGATGATTTCTTCCACATCTTTTCCTGTTGACAGACTTCTGCCATGTCAGATCAATTTTTAGTCTTGGCTGCTAGATGCCTGGAGGTTCTGACAAACTGCTGCCATAAGGGACTTCAGGACAAAAAAATGTTTTTTTAAAGACAGCAAAATACCTGAAGTAGTAAACAGGCGTACGTGATCCTTACTCAGCAGCAATATTAAAAGATATAAAGAGTAAGCCCACTGTCTATTATTCTCACTTTAAAAGGATCTTAACAAAAAGGAAAGGTTTGCAAGCAGCTTAAAGGCATCACCTGTAACCTTGCATGACCATGATTCACCACCGTGCAACCTATTTTATCTAGCATGAGAAACAGATATTTCTGACAGCGCAGCAAATGTTCATAATAACATTTGCAATAATAGCAAAGCAAGAGCCAGTGATGGAACCTTAACTATATATATTCAGTCCAGAAACAAGGCATAATTTTTTTCAACAGAAGGCCAATTAAACATTCAAATCATTTATTGAGTCACATGAGACATGAGTCACAGCATTCTTCATCATTTTGAGTCTTTATATGAAGATTTTAGACCCTGATGGCTATAGCAGGAACTGCTGCCTGAAATTATCTGACTGTTAGAAAGATAAACTAGGTGATCAATTGCAATACTACTGTCCTTAAGCCCCACCTCTAATCAGATGCAGAAGATGGCAGTATACAAGCCTGCTTTGCTCATAACCCAGAAGTCTCTAACAAAATAGTCCTGGGATACTTATATCTGTCATCTCTCTTTGCTCGCTAGTGATGCACAAAAAAAATATACATATTTTACAGTAACTTTTTATTAAATCACAATGTAATAAAAAAATTGAACAAAACCCAAAACACAGAACAGCAGAAAAAAGCCTGATGTTCCTCTCACACGACACTGTGCTCAGAGGGGCAGTCACAGCAGGAGCCTGTGGATCTGCTAGAAAAGAAGGTTGGTTTCCTTACAACTGCAAGGCAGCTGGAGGAAGCTCAAGGGAGCAGAGTCTGATCCAGTCTGCAGGGTAGCAGCTGTTGCCAGCAAGCCCTTTGAACGAGCAGGAAAGGCCAGAAGATGGAGGGATCTTTCTGAAGATGCAAGGAAAGCTGGAGTGCATCAGAGAGTTGGCCTTGAGTGGTGACCATGACATGACACTGGAGAGGGGAGAAAGAAAATAAATCACATTCCTGTGAGAGTCCCAGTGCTGGCATTTGCAGGGATAGTCCCCCGCTTGGTGCTCTACAGCACGTGGAGCTCTGCCTTGGGGTGGATGATGAGCAAGTCAAGAGCTTATGGGTAAGGATTAAAGAACAGACTAACAAGGGTGACACTGTTGTGGGTGTTTGCTACAGGCCACCTAATCAGGAGGAGGAAGTGGATGAGGCCTTTTAGAGACAGCTGGAAGTAGCTTCACAATCACAGGCCCTGGTTCTCATGGGGGACTTCAACCACCCTGACATCTGCTGGAGGAACAACACAGCAAGGCACAAACAATCCGGGAGGTTCCTGGAAAGCACTGATGATAACTTTCTGACACAGGTGATGGAGGAGCCAATGAGGAGAGGTGTGCTACTGGACCTTGTACTAACAAACAAGGAAGGACTGGTTGGAGATGTGAAGGTTGGGGGCAGCCTTGGCTGCAGTGACCACAAGATGGTGGAGTTCAGGAACCTGTGAGGAAGAAGCAGGGCAATAAGTAAGATCACAACCCTGGACTTCAGGAGAGCTAACTTTGGCCTTTCAGGGACTTTTTGGAAGAATCCCATGGGTCCTAGAAGGAAGCGGGGTCAAAGAGAGCTGGTTAATATTCAAGCATCACTTCACGCTCAAGAATGGTGCATCCCTATGAACAAGAAATTGAGCAAAGGGGGCAGGAGACCTGCATGGCTGAGCAAGGAGCTCCTGACAAAACTCAAACATAAGCACAAGACGTACAGGAGATGGAAGCAGGGACAGGCCACTTACAATGACTATAGGGACATTGTCAGAGTATGCAGAAATATGTCAAGGAAGGCCAAGGCCCATTCAGAATTAAATCTGGCTAGGGCTGTCAAGGACAACAAGAAGGGCTTCTTCAAATACATCAATAACAGAAGGAAAACTAAGGAAAATGTGGGCCTGCTGCTGAATTGGGCAGGGACCCTGGTGACAGAGGACATAGAGAAGACAGAAACACTGATTGCCTTCTTTGCTTTAGCCTTCACTGCCAAGGATGAGAGGCAATGGAAACAAAATGAAATGCAAGAAGTTCCATCTGAACATGAGGAAAAACCTCTTGACTGTGAGGGTGACTGAGCACTGGAACAGGTTGCCCAGAGAGGTTGTGGAGTCTCCATCCTTGGAGATATTCAAAAGCCGTCTGGACACAATCCTGGGCAACGTGCTCTAGGTGACCCTGCCTGCTTGAGCAGGGGGGTCAGACTAGATGATCTACAGAGTTCCCTTCCAACCTCAACCATTCTGTGACTCAGAAGTCCAGCTGTGCACAGATCCACTGGGCCTGTCCAGGAACAGGACAGCTCTGAGAGAACATCTCAAGATGGGAACTGAATTACAGAATAATTTAGGTTAGAAGGGACATTTAGAGGCCATTTTGTCCAAACAAGACTGGACATCTGCTGTCTGCAGAGTTTGGGTTCATCTCTTAGCTTGCGCTCCATGGACAGGAGATTCATTAGAGTCCACCTTGTCACTAGTTCTGATCACTGCCCTACATACATGACAGACCATGCTGGCCACCCCAGCCAGCCCTGGACACAAAAACATGAATGCAACATGGGCCTGAAGACACTTATGGGCAGGTCAGGGGTACATGTGGGATGTGGCACCACAGAAGGTGATGCCATTTCTGATGGGCATTACAGACCTCAGCTCCTCTGTGGACAGAGGCCCTGAGCTTCAGGTAGCCCTCACCTGTGATCAGATCCACATGACATTCAAAGACAGTGCCGTGCAAGAGGAAGCAGCCTCAAGGTATTAACTGCTTAGCATAGGCTGAAGGTCTCTTGCATGCTACCCTGTGCAGCAGAGAAATGGGTATGCAGGCACAGAGCTTTTCAGTGAGTGTTTGTTCCTCTTTGAGACACTAGTGGCAGGGTGTATTCTTCTCCCAGGCAGAGCAACAGGAAGGCCTGAGAAAACAGGCAACTGTTCCATGTTACTCTGGTACAATCACAGCCAAAGCTATTTTCATCAATGCAGTAATTACTCCAGAGAACACCTACAGGGCAAGAGGCTCAGTGACACACATCTAACATGCATTCCCCTTATAAAGCCCAAGGATCCTAACCCAGAGGCTAAGCTGGCCTGTTCCAAGCAGCTTTGAGGTGAAGAAAAGTGGGGATACAGACTCAAGATTCATTCAGAGGGCCATTTCTTTGGCCAGAAGACAGAGGCTGTACAGGGAGAGAAAAAAGCCTAACATAATTGCTCTGCCCAACTGCCAAGCGTCTTGGCAGAGCCTCTCACCAGCTTCAAGCCTAGACAGTTCCATGACACAATGGATGCAAAAAATTGAGCCTGGTAGAGTCATGAAGAAAATGGCAAAGCAGGAGTGCTTGGTGAAGGCCGTGCCTCTTCTCCTCCTCCAGGGCAACCACTACCAGGGTGTCAGCCATGGCTGTGCCCTGTCAGCAGCAGGTGTTGCTGCTGGCACGAGAAATGGATGTGATACCCCTCAGGGATTGCTAAATAGATGTCTCATCACACTTTGCCAGGGGAACTCCACCCAAGTAAATTCGGGCTTGGTCTTTGTCCAGCTCATTAATGTAAAGATGGGGAAAGCCATTCAGACCACCATTCTTCTTGGCTGTGGCTAGTGGGTGGCGCTCATCTTCAGGCGAGCTAGGTGTGTGGGGCTCGTGGCTGCAGCTGGTTGTGTTTGACTGCATCAGATCCAGCCCATTCTTTTCATGGTTGATCAGCCCCCTCTGATGTCGGTCCCGGCGTGTCTTCTCATAGGCAAGGAAACAGCAGCAGCCAGCAGCAAAACCCAGTAGAAAAAAGAAGAGTCCCATGAGTGCACTGTATCTCCGCTGAGTGGACCTACAGCTGCTGCTGGGGCTGCTGCCCTGCATCACACTGTAGGAAGCCAGCATACTGCCCACACCCCCCTCTGTACACCAGCAGGAGTAATCCCCAAGGGTTTCCTCTGACACTGTGAGCTCCAGACCATCACTGCGCAGGGTGTACACAGAGGCATCAACATGTGGTTTCTGCCACGTGCAAGTGGACCAGGCCGACCGTGGAAGGCAGGGAAGCACCAGCCTGGTCCCAATGGCTGTCGGCACCTCAACGGGCACTGGCGCATCTGTAAGGGAAGAGACACCGGCTGTGGGGAAGACCCTGTGCAAGGGACACAACACTGACCACTCTACTCCTAACCCTACGGCCATAGGTGTGACCGTCTGAACAGTGAACGCTAACTGGCTCCTGTCTGCAGCACAGCAAAGAGCCACCAGGTACCCAGCGGCAGTGCAGCATGTTGCTCCCAAGAGGCTCTTCCAGCACCTTAACAGTCTGTAACAGGCTATTATTCCCAACAACTCTGTGCCAACATCCCCTTAAGCTGAATCACATCTTTTGCTTCCTTGGTACTTGTTAGTCATCTTCATAAGCTGCAAGGGAGCCCCGCCTTGCTTCTCCTGTCCAAGGCAACATGTGCTAAGCCCCCTTCTCTTCCTTCCAACTGACAGCTGCTGCATGGCCAATCTGGGCCCCGGTGATATCACTGTGTGAACACAAAGCCCATGGGGAGGCACCTGATGAGGCTGAAAGCAGTCTGACATCCCAGCCTGGCTGCCCCAGTTGTCTGTGCCAGCAACTGCAGACCGTCCCCTAATTACCTCTTCTCTTGCAAAGACTGTTCCTCCAGGGAATCCTTCTCCCTGCTTCTCTGCTGGGTTGATATAAGCTGAACCAGGGGAAGAAAGCAGAGCCTGTGCTTCCTTCTACAGACATAACCTCACTAATTGCAGAGCTGCAGTTTATACAGCATGTGCCCAGGACACTCCTTTGAGAAAACAGCAGTTTCCAGCTATTGACTCTTGGCTCCCAAAACTACTTCAGCAACGCCCACTCCCATCACATACCTTCCACGCCCTCTGGACACAGCATTAAGACATTCACAGACAAGATATCCTGGAGCAAGCTAGGAAAAGGCAGAAAAGCAGCAAAAACAATCATGAGCATCTAGTGGCTCCCACAGACACATCCAAAACATTCTCCTCCCACCATGTACGACAGGGTAGCTCCATGCCCTGTGGCACAGCAGGGAAGTTCCCTACAAGAGGCAAATGCCTCTTTGTTCAAGCATGAGACAAACAACTGTAAGGTGTTCAGTATTACAGCATGGGATATCTGACCCAGCAGTGACTACTGTGACAGCACCTCAGCTTCTAGGCCAACAGTCACAGCAGGGGGCATCACAAAGGGCCAGAACAGGGATAAAAGTCCCTGCCCTAGCTGCCTACCACCCTCCTCTCCAGTTGTCCTCCCAGTGCACCTGTTTCTTACAGCACTGCTTAGAAAGATAAGGTGAGAAGAGGTGAAGCAAGTTAGTGAGAGACGCATATCTCCTGGGAGAGGAGAGAAGCAGAGGCAGGCTATGCTAGAAAGAGAATCATCTCTAAGAGGGGAGAAAACAGAGAGGTATTGGCTGTGCTTTGTGCAAGGACCAGGTGTCTTAAAACATAGTAAGGATTGGCCAAGGATTTCTATATTTTACCTGATCACTATTTACTACAGAATACAGTGCCGGGAGCCATCAAGGCCTCCTGCTCCCTAGACTACAGGTCACTGTGGGTGCAGCCATGTTCCCACTCATGCTCCCTCATTCTGGCCACATTAGACTTCAGCTTTTTTCTGCACATCCTTGTCCTCACCTGGAGGAGTCTACCTCCCTCAGCAGGCAGGGGATGGTGCTTGAATTCCCAAAAGGCAGATAGAGTCTGGAACACAGGTCTGGCATTTCTGACATGAGTGCAGGAGGGAGAAGGACAGCACTGCCCCCTTCAGCACCTTTGTGCAACACGCCTAGTGTGTGTCAGGCTTGCTCTGGGAGCAGCCTTGCAGACTAAGATGCCTAAGCTCAAAAAAAAATGGGTACATGTGATCAAAAACAGGTATTGAGTCTAGCCCAACAATCCATCCCCACAGTGGCCAGCAGCAACTACATTCATAAAGGCATAGGAGCCCAAGCAGATGAGGCTGTTTCTCCAGAACACTCTCAGGCCTTCCTTGCAAATACCTTTTCAAAACTGTCAGTCCAGGGAGAAGATTCATTGCTGTTCATTTGTCTACTTGATCTATAGCTTTTTCTAAAGGACCCTCAATTTTAAGATAGCTCCTCTGATGCATCACCCACGAGAAAACACTCAGCACTATAAGCCCCCCACAGAAGCAAAAATATCATTTGTCTTTTTCCCCACTGTGGCCTTATCTTCTCTGTGCACTCTTTTTATGGCTGGATTATTCACTGGTCAACATATACTTTGGCAGGCTTCCTGCTCCTGAATTGGTTGAGAAATAATTTATTAGCTTTTATGCCTTTTTTGGTCTGGGATATACCTACTCTATATCTGATCTGTTGAACAAAGGACACTGTGCAAACAAGACTACAGAATTCATGCAAGTACCATCCTCTGAAAGAATAAGTGAGTATAGAACTAAGGTTGCCAGGCCACACTGAGATAAGAACTCCCCAGGGCTGACATGGCTTCCCCAGCACCTGTGCAGCACCATGGGGAAGCAGGCTTGTCAGCAATCAAGGGTCAAGCAAGATGGTACACACACTGCCCAGCATAGCATAGCAGAGAAGAGGTCCCTTCCAGCCTCTGTTATTCTATGAAAGAAGCAGCAGGAAGGATGGGCACGTGATTAAGACACTGAAGGGGTCTGTGAAGACATTCAAGATCAACCCTTGAGGTCTGTAAAAGAGAGACAACACAGCTCCAGGATCACAGCGGGTGAGCAAGGATAATGTTTTTAAGTTCTGGTGCTGTGTCACGGGGGGAGTGAGGTAGTAGCATGCCTAGGAGAGAAAGCATGGACAAACACTGCTGTGGTGACCAGGTAGCTGGCAAAGTTCAGATAGAGAAGCAGCTTAATATTCTTTTTATGTATCTGTTTTTAATTATACAAATTAATGCCATTCCTGACTATATTTCTCTAGGCAGCCTAGAAAGAGCTACCTAAGGAAGGCTTTGACTAAGGGAAGATACAGGTCTTACAAACTCAGCAGCATGAAAGATGCCACTGAGAAAGCTGAGGCCAAGACTAGCATCAGGGTAGTCTGAAAGCTGGGGAAAGCAATGTGATAAGAGAAGGTGGGAAGCGTTGTCCTGGACATGTTGCTCTTGGAAGGGCTGTGATGCAAGGAACTGAAACAGCCAGAAAAGTGAAAACAGAGGCTCCAGGTCATTGAGGTGGCAAACAGCTAGAAAGGTAAAGCAGATGCAAGAGAGTTTCATCAAGGCAGAGATGCTGCCTCCAACACATTGCAGGTGTAGGGGAATGTCACTTACTCATTCTGTTGCTGGTGGCTGATGCAAGCACCTATTTCTTTGCTCCACGCACAGGCTGGATCTCTGCTTAGAATACACTCTTGGCAGCTCTTGTACATCTCACAGTTAGTTGTATTGAGTTGAGTCACTTCACTAGAGGAACCCACATACAACCAGCTCTGTAAATGAAGGAAAAGAAAGTAAGAGGTGAAAGCCGATGCTTGCAATGCCAAATGAGGCACAAGGCGCTAGCTTCACCACAGGACTTAGGTGTGAAAAATTCATTTAGTTCCTAAACCCTATGTCCAGTACCTATGTCTCTTACCGGTCTTGTCCAGTACCTTAGTCAAGTCCTTCTAGTGCCAAGGGGTGTATCAGTTTGGAGCCGTACACCTGCCCATGTCCTAAAGGTGCCCAGACATCACTTACTTGGATTCGCACCAGATGACCCTACCACACCTAGAAGATCTGACTGCTTGGTTCAGGCTCCACAAGAAGCTCGTGACAAGCCCCAACCAACACCACAGCACTGCCTGGAGCAACTACGCAGCACATCTGATGTCCCAGCTCAGAGCTCTTGGGGACGATGAGGTCACCCAGGGCTCAGGGTGCAGGAAGAGCCTGGTGCTGGGGCGAGGATGTGGCATCCATGGCTGCAGGAGGTGTGGGCTGGCTGAAAAGCTGTGTCAGTTAAGGAGCTGCAGGAAGAGTGGAGCAGACTGTGCATCATCAGGGAGCATGAGAAAGAGAGCTTGACAGGATCTTTACAGAGGCCCTGAAAGTCAAGAGCCTGAACCCCCAACTGCACAGAAGAAGGCACAGCCAGGGACTGCGTGTGATTTTGATGCAAACATGGACTCCTGTGATGGGAAAGGCTGGAGGCTTGTGACTTTTGGCAGGAGGAGGACACCTCCTTTTCCACCCACAGATCTGCAGCTGCAGAATAGCTTCAGCCCCTGGTAGTAGGCAAGGGACTAGGAGCTCTGTGGAGCCATCATAGCCTGATCCATGCAGCAGCACCAGGATGAAGCAGCAAGTGATAACAGTGGGAGACTCCCTTCTGAAGGGGACAGAGGCCCCTCTGTCTGCTGACTTGACCTGCTGTCTAGGGAAGTTTGCTGCTTGCCAGAGGCTCAGGCTCATGACATTGCTGAAAGATTGCTGAAGCTTCTCCGGCCCTATGACTATTACCCCCTGCTGCTCTTCCATGCGGGCACCAAAGATACTGCTAAAGGAGACCTGGAAAGTGTCAAGTGTCACTTCATGACTGCAGGGATGAGAGATCCCGCGGGGCACCAACTGATTGCACATCTGCAAAAAGGCCACGGGTGGTCCTGGTGGGCAGCCAACGGGACAGGCATGCCCTGGCAGCAATGAAGGCCAGCAGTGTCTGGGGTTGTACGAACAGGGGCTCAGCCAGGAGATCGAGGGGAGCAACTGTACCCCTCAGCCCAGCACGCGTTAGACCACATCTAGCTACTATCTCTAGTCTGGGGCCCCCCAGTACAATAAAGACAACAACAAACTGGGGTGAGTTCAGCAGAGGCCACCAAGATGGCCAGGGGCTGGAGCATCTTCCCTGTGAGAAGCTGAGGGAAAAGAGCTGGTTCAGCCTGGAGACAAGATGGCTTCAGGGGACCTAACAGCAGCCATCTAACACCTATAGGAAAGCGTGAGTAGGCTCCTCACAAGTTGCTGGAGCCTGGCTCTTCATAGTGGTACATGGCAGAAGGATGAGATATGACAAGACAAATTGAAACACAAGGTTCAGACTGGATAAAAGGAAAAACTTTCTCCCCCACGAGGACAATTCAACGTTGGAGCAGGGGCCTACAGGGATTGTGCAGTCTCCATCCTTGCAGGAGTTTAAGGCCCGATGGGGAAAAAGTCCTAAGAAACCTGCTCTGATTTCAGAGCTGACCCTGCTTTGACCAGGAGGTTGGACTAGAGACCTCCTGAGGTCCCTTCTACCCTGAATTATCCTGTGGTCCTACTATCGCTGCTCCAGTGCAATAACGCAGAAAGCACTGCATGCCCACAACTCATGTAAGGGTGTGTGGAAGTTAAAGAATGGTATTTAGATATCTAAAACATATGGACATCTGCTTTGTGAGGCTATATGGTTAACAGCTGTTCAACCTTAAAAATAAAAGAGACTGGAAAAATAATAAACTGAACACCCACCCATTGTGAACACCGATTTGTGTTGTGAATACACAAACCCAAACAAATAGGAGATAACAGAGACAATACCAAAGCCCAGAGCTTTCTCTCATTGCAGGAACCTGCTCAACCACTCAAGTGGAGAGGGTCAACCTGAGCTTGGTAACCGATAAGAAAGGGGAAACAAGATGATCCTGAATCTCTTGTGGAACAGCAAGCTTATTAAGGGATATTTGAGCGGTCTTGTGGTATTGTGTAAAACTTATTATGGTATATTTTAATGGGATTGTGGGAATGTGCAAAAGGTATTATGGGGTGTTTAGGGAAAGGGCCAAGGGCTGGGAAGAGGAAAGATCAAGGTGGATTGGAGAGGAACAAGTATGGGAATACAGAGAGCATAGGAAATAAAAGGAGCTGGTGACATATAAGCAAACTGCTGGCCAGTGCACTTGTCTGGCCAAGCCCCACACCTCATCACCATAGTCTCTGCTGTCTTCTTACTAAACTCTAGTCTTATTTTCTGTGTGGCCTTGCTCTCGGTTTTCTATGTTTGCAAGAGCATGAAATTCACTAGCAAACTTCAAGCTGGACTAGCCAGCAAGCAGGACACCAGGGTCAGGAAAGACTCAAGCTTGTAGCTGGAGGCTGGATAAATGGCACCCGTGATCTGGGCACACAGTCTAGACGGACTTATGGTCTGGTCCATGGTTCCAGGGATCCATACATGTGAATTAAGGAAGTAAGGACATGTGTATGTCCACAAGTGCACTTCCATCTTGATCAGCTGGAGAGGAGAAACAGGATGGGGCCATCTATGGAATTCATGTATATGTCAGTCCTATTGGTGTTTTTCACATGAATGTCAGTAAAGGCACTGCTCTCTGTGATGATCTGTGTAGGCAGCTGTGTGTGTAGCGTGAGTCTGTGTATCTGTGTCTTTGGGATTTGTGCTTGCCTTGCTACTGGCTGGACCTGCAAATGGGAAGAGTGGCAAACAGGCTAGGGAGGAGAAATCCCAAGTTTTAAAAGTCCACTGGAGTCAGTTTCCCTTAACTCCAGGGAATCCATGAGTCAGCTAAACAGAACTGAACAGCTTACTGCTTGCAAGGAGACAAAATGAAAACTGAGAACTAGGGCAAAAAAAGGCTCCCATGCTGGGAATTCTCTATACGTGGCTGAGCACGAGAGAGCATGAGTACATAGGAGTGAATCAAGTCCGGAGATAGAAGAAGCGTCTATAAAGAATAAAGGAGTAGAAAACAGGATGCCAATGCACCACCTCTCCCATGCTCCTGCTCTGAAAATGGAACCAGGAAACTGTACTCAATGTTTCAAGTCAGTGGTTTCAAGTCAGTGGTATCAGGAGAATTACATGCTGTGGCAGCTACCAGCCATGGGGCAAGGATCTGGAGTGCACAGGAATCACTCTTGCAGTTGTTCTCCTACAACACTGCTGCTCCACATAATCCTGTCAGCAATAAAGGGTGATCTGCACAGACTTACTCTCCCCATTAGACATAAACCAACTCTAAGCCAACCAAAAGACACAGGATTAACAGGGCACTGAGCCTCAGTTAATCAGCTCTGCTCAGTGGAAGCCGTTATTAACGCAGACTCAGCATTGCATGACCCAGAGGCACAGCGCTCTCTCTTGCTTCCACGTGTCCAACCTGCCCACAGCAATACCTTCACTCTTTTTGACCAAGAGCTCTAGTAACCAAAGGCTTCCTTTGACCATATACCTATCAGTATGTAAAAGACTGAAGGCAGAGACTTAAGAGGAAGCAGCTTATTGCCTCACCTGGTGGAGCTGCAGACTGTGGATTGGCTGTGGCTCTGGGAAGAGGGCGAGATCTTCCGTGATGAAGGCCTCTGAGCCAATCTTCACTGCTTTGTGTAGGTGCCCATCCTCTGCACAGGAAAGGAGAAAAAAGCAGCATGCAGGACAAGTCTGTCAAAACCTGCCTGGGAACAGCAAACACCACCTGAGGAGGGCTGCTCATCTCTCCTCTCAGCAATGCCATCACAGCATTGCACAGCCACTCAATCCCTGGGCAAAAATGCACTGCGGAAAAGGCATGCCTGCCTTGTCCCAGTGCCCAGAGAAGTATTCTGCACCTCAACTCTTGACAATTTCTTCATCCGTACTGTCTAAAGATCATTCCCAAGCAACCCAGGCAGCATTAAGGCACTGTGGCCCTAGCTCTACTTCCAGTCCACTCATCACTCTAAGCCTGGGCACAATCCAGACTCTTCCTTCACAATCCTAGCTTTGCACATTTGCTAAGAGGTCTTCACTCCTGCCATTAAATCAAGTCTCTTGATCCCATTCCAGCCCCTGCGTGGTTTCCTGATGCCCCTCCAACCCCCCTTCCATTTTCAGTACATCTCTACCCAAACCTGGTGGTCACATCACAAGCTGCCAGTCCTCACCTGTTCCCAGATACAATACATCATATTCCAGCCCAGAGAGACTCTTGACCCTGTGTACTGCAATGCTGCGGTAGGGCATATCCAGGTTGACTAACAGCGGTCCACTCTCAAGAGGGTGAACAGCCTGGTCCATAAGAGGATGATCTCGAACAAACGTGAGGACACGGTCTGGCAGTGCCAGTGAGGAGCCAAAACCAGTCAGCTTCATGCTGTTGGTAATACACTAGGAGGCGGGGAGAAACAAATGTTCAATTAACCAAGAAATTGTCTATTCTGCTTCTTCAGTATCCTTGGGTTTGTTCTGGAGAAGGAGCAAAGCACATACAACTTGTACATACCAGTCTCTACACTCAGAGCAATTTCCTTGTGTTAAGGAAATTTCACCCGAGTGAGCTGCAAAGTGGATCCATTTAGGCATTTTTGTTCCACCTTAAAGAACTGCACTGTGGTTAGATCCCCTGAAAACATGCTCCCAAAGTACTTACAGGCTGACTGTTCACAGAGAGAGCATCCCAGCAACATTAGCTATGCCTTGCATCTTCAAGTATATAAAAACTTTTAAGTAGTAACATATTCCTAGGGAATCTCTAGATCAAGTAGGTACTACTATCAAACAGCCCTGTGTTCTGGTAAAACTGAAAGACTGCAGCAGGTTTATCCGTTAATCTGTATTTACTCTATCACACCAGCAGAAGAGAAAACCTCAGTTGTGATGGAAGTCAAATCTGGAACATTCAAGGGTAGGGGAAGCTACTGCATGCAAGCCCCTTCCTATTGCCTGGAACAAGACTGTGGGCTGCTCCTAGGTGGTAACTGGGATTCAGACATGTATCATCAACAGGATTTTGTGGCATCTATAAACACTACTCTCTCCATCTTCTCATACACACACTTACCACTGAGTAAAGCACTCTGTCTCCCTGAATCTCCCTTCCACATGGAACAACAGGTGGGATCTGTCCTCACTCTTCCCTCTGATATGAAGCAATGATATAAGCACTTATTTTCCAATTAAAAGCAACAGGCCAGCCTCTCTCTCACTATCTTTTCCACAATAAGCCTCTCATTTACACATACTCTTTTCTCCAAGGAGCATCAGCTGTGACATCCTGATCACAACATCTTCCCCTGTTCCACTTAATGAGTCTTAGGGGAGATTGCCCCATCTGCATTCCTCTCAGTGAACTGTAGGCACATTCTCCTCCCTTTCCTCCCTGTTTATGGGAAGGAAGGTATGCATCTCTCCAGGCTTTAGTTTGATGCACATCACTCACAGCACCAGGCCGGGGCTCTGGGACATCAGCACCCATGACACTCGTCCACTTGTCACAATCACGCTTAAATTCCTTGAAGCGACCATTCATGGCTTTATGGACGTCCTGAATGCTGTAGGCACAAACAGCAGAGACCTCTCCACCATCCCTAGAAGGACATTGAAGAAAGAGGCATAATTCAGCTCTGAACAGATTCTCCACATAAAAATTCAGTCTTGGAATATGCCTTTATCCACTAAGTCAACTGAGAATCTTTTAAAAAAAAAAAAATCACACCACACACAACCCTCCTTCCAGATATCCCCCAAATCCCTCTTCCAACCCTGAACAACCCTGCAAACAGTATGGCACTACAGACCCATACAGGGTTAAGAAACACACTTCTCCCTAACAAGCAGAAGAACAATTCCTGAAGCCTGAGGCACAGCATAGAGCTTTGTGGGAATAAGGACAACAGAAAGGAATTTTCAGATAGGAACAAAATTATAGCAATGGTAGAGAAACATTAGAAGGCTGTCATAATGATACAGTGTAAAATATGCATGATAGGTCAGCAAATATTTCCATTTTATACTTGTATTTAGAAAGAAACAAGGTCATATAAGCTATAGCTTTCAAAGAGAAGAGTCAGGGAATTACAGTCAATTCAATTCAGTTCCTAGAACTGCATAATGCATGGACAGTTTACAATATCTGGAAGATAATGTAGAAATGAGCAGCTGATGTGAATTTCTGACTCACATAATCCAATGCACTTCCCTTCTATAATAGGATAGCAAATCTTATAGACAAAAGAGAAGCAGTAGAGGTCACTTAGCTCTGTTTGAGAAAGGTGCATGCTGGGAAAAGAGGGTGAAGAGAAAGCTGTGAAGTAGTTGCAAGAGTGGTCGAACAGAGGTAGTTTTCAATGCTTTTGATGAAAATGGAATGGTATGTATAGTGGTTTCATCGTCTGTCCTGGATTTGAGACTAGTCAATGCTTTCATTTTTCATCTGCAAGCTGGAACAATGAGTTTTGTTTGAAGTATTTGCATGTGAAAATGAAGAGGGCTTTATGTGCCCTGCAGGAGAGGGTGAAAGTCATAGTGGTTTTGACAGATGAGATGACCTGAAGACAGACTGAAGAAAACAAGATGCAACTCAATAGGAGGGCAGAGCACTTCGTGGACCTAGCATTAACAAGATGAGCAAATTGCAGCCGGAAACCAAATACTGAAAAGTTGCCTGCCAGGCAGGTTACCAGGATGCAGTTTGAGTCTAGCTTCCTTCTTCACTATAACAGGGGGAACACCAGCATCAAGGATCGCAGCAAACAGGGAGTGCAAACAGAGAGTAGGCAGTCAGCAAGACTGTTAGTGCAGATGGGGATACCCAGGGCTGGGAGCCGCTCCTTGAGACTGAGCGAGTACTAGAGTCAGCAGAGCAATGGTGGTGATGCCCTGAGGATGTGGTCTCCTGCACAGGTCACAGTCTATCCTGAACAATCGGGCAACTGACTGAGGGTTTGTGGGTCAGGAATGGAGGGGAGGCAAAGAAAGCTGACATCTGATGGGCATTTGCTACAGATCAGCTGACGAGGAAGAGGAGGCGGATCAAGCCTTCTTCAAACAAGTGAAAGATGCCTCTCAGACACAGGCCCCAAGTTCCATGGGAGGCTTTTCCCCATCTTGATATCTGCTAAGAGGGCAACAGGGCTGGGCACAAGCAGCTCCAAGGATTTCTGGAGCAAGCTGGGGACAATCCTTTGGCACGGGTCCTGGACAGGTGACTGGGAGTAATGCTTTGCCATATCTGCTACTCTCAAAAGAGGCAGAACTAGCTGTGACATTAAGGTCAAGGTCAGCCTTGACTGCAGCGACAGTAAGAGGGTGGTGCAGAGACGCTGAGGAGAGTGAGGAAGACAGCAAGAGACCAAAGGACAGAATTCAGGATGGTAGGCTTCAACTTGTTCAGGAATCTGTTTGGCAGGATCCCAGGGGAGGTTGCCCTGGAGGGCAGATGGCCAGAACAGCTGGTAGATCTTCAGGAACACTCTCCTTAACACACAAGGACAGCCCAGTCCAACGTACGGGAAGATGAGCAGCCATGGAGGAGCAGGAACTTCTCACTGCGCTCAAACACAGAAAGGGAGTGCACAGAAGGTGGAAGAAGGGACAGGTGCCCAGGAGGAACATAGAGACTTTGCCTGAGCGAGCAGGGACGGAATTAACAAAGCCAGAGCTTAGCTGGAGCTGGAACTAGCAAGGGATATGAAGGGCACTAAGAACAGCTCCTGTAAGTACCACAGCAGCAAAAGGAAGGCTAAGGAAAACATGGGCCCTCTGCTAGTGACACACGACATAGAAAGGGCTAAGGTACTTGGTGTGCCTTTGCCTAGTTCCTCAGGCTTCCCAGGTTCCTGCGCCCAGGGGCGGAGCCTGTGGGCACGTAGCGTTATCCACGGTAGAGGAAGATCAAGTGAGGGACCACTGAGGCCAACTGAACATGCACAAGTCCACGGCACCAGACAGGATGCATCCGAGGGCGATGGCCAGTGGCACTGTGAGGCTGTTCTCCATGCTCTTTAAAAGGTCATGGTGACTAGGGGAGGCTCCTGATGATTGAGAAAAGGCAAATGTCACACGAGTCTGCAAGAAGGACAAGACAGAAGGTCTAGAAAACTGCAGAGCAGTCATTCTCACCTCAGTCCCTGGGACACTTATGGAGCACATCCTCCTGGAAGCATTTGCCTGACGCTTTTTATGATAAAATTACTGGCTCATAACTAAGGGCAAAGCAGGGGATGTTGTTTATCCTGACTTTTGCAAAGCCTTTGACAGTCTTCTGCAGTATCCTGGCAGAAGAGATACGGACTGGAAGGATGGACTACAAGAAGGTGAAGAACTGGCTGGACTTTAAGAGAGGCTTTAGGAGCTGGGATCAACGGCTCAAAGTCTAACTAACTGCTGGTTAGAAGTGGTGTTCCTCAGAGGTCTATACTGGGGCCAATACTGTTTAATGTCTTCATTAATGACTTTGATAATGGGACAGAGCTACCCTCAGCAAGTCTGCAGAAGACAATAAACAGAGGGGGAGCCGTTAATACACTGGAGGGCAAATACATGACTCAAGAGGGACCAGACAGGCCTGAGGAACCTCAGGAAGATCAATACAGACAAATGCATCGTCTGCACGTGCAACTCAACAACCTCCTCCAAAATAGACAGACTGGGCACCGACTAGGTAGGAAGCAGTTCTACGGAAAAGGAGCTGAAGGTTATGGAAAACAAGGTAAAAGTGAGCCAGCAGTGCACCCGTGCGGCAATAAAGACCAACTGCATAGTCAGCTGTATTACTAAGAACGTAGCCAACAGACTGAGGAAAATTATTATTTCCTTGTACTCGACACTTGTGAGGCTGTATCTGGAGTGCTGCATCCAGTTTGGAGATTCCCGGTACAAGAGAGACAAGATCCTATGGGAACAAGACCAGCGAGGCAGAGCTGGAGCACACAACATGCAGAGAGGCTGGGAGAGCTGAGGCTGTGCAGCCTAGGGAGGGGATAGAAAGATGGTCATCCACAGCCCTCCACTACCTAGGGAGGGGGTTATTGAAAAAAGACCAAGCCAGACTCTTCCCAGAGGCTCACAGCGATGAGACAAAAGGCAACATGGACAAGGTGGGACACAGGAAAAAGCCATTAAATATTATGAAAAAATTTGACTGTGAAAGAGAACGCTTGAACAGGGGCCCAGAGAGGTGGGGAATCTCCATCCCTGGGACTTCTTAACACTGGGCAATGCCCTGAACAACTGGATCTAAACTGAAAGTCAGCACTGCTCTGGGCATGAAGCTGGACCAGAGGCCTCCAGAGGTCTCTTCCAACCCAACTTTTTCTCTGATTCTAAGATTCTGCATTGAGGCAGGAATACTCAACCTTGCAGTGTGAGGGAAAAAAGAAAAAAAAAAAAAGTTAAGTAGCAGCTCTGCAGGAAAAAAGTAAGAGAGAGCGAGAAGGGAACCAGAGCCTAATGCCTGCCCGCACCAGGAAGTACCACTCACCTACGAGTTGAGAAGATGCCATAGAATACAGTCGCATTCCCAGAGCGCAGGGTGAACACATCCCTCAGCAGATTGAAGGTGGTTCCGTGCTCTGGATCTGAGCAAACCAACTGGGCCTTTAGGAAGGTTGTCCACCGCTTCTGCAGAGTCTTCAGGCCCCCCAAGTCTCCCTGCAGAGCAAGCAGGGAAAAGATAACTCCTCCTCATCTCAAACGTAAATATCTGCTGTTCAGCCTAAGGTAAGTTATCTGCAGGGGAGTTCTGTAAGCAGGACAAAGGGAAATGCGCCATGGAGGACAGAGAGGAGAGCAGCGATTGTGGCCAAGACACCAGAAGCAAGGTTTGGCCACGGGGAGAGAGAGAAGCAGGACAACCTGGAGACATCACAAGGCTGGATTTAACAAGAGCCACAAGAAAACAGACAGATGGAAAATGCTTTGTCCCAAGTCCAGTGCTGTATGCTGCTCAAAAGTACTCTACTTAGGGTTGATGACCTGCAGGGCCAATTGTAAACAGCAACCTCTATATACATCATCAATTCTTATCAAGTCTATTTTGCACTTTTCTTATTATTTTCCTAAAAGAAAGACTATTTCAAATTAGCTATTTAAAATGTTGATTTGCGAAAACTAAAGCCTTTATTTTACATTTAAAAATCGATTTTTGCTCATGAGGACAATAGACAATATCTGTGCAGACTTACCCATTTACTGCATAAATTAGTTTTATATGCATTTGTTATTATGAGAAAAAAGTTAGAAAATTTAATTAGTCTTTTTTGTTTGTTTTTTTTGGACACAAATCTAACTGGGTAAAAAGCAGAATTCAATGAAGATACACAAAACTATCTTAATATATTCTAGATAAACATGAAAATACAGGTTTATTGAAATATATTTTGCACGAAGAATTGTCTAAACAAAGTATTAGTTGCCATTTAGGAGCCTACCATGAAACAACTCATGTTGTTACAGCTGGAGTTTAATTGCACATTATGGAACAAATTTCCTACTTATTCACATCCCAGCTGATTCTTTAACTCTTAGTGTGTAATCACTGAACTGAGCATCTTGTATAAATTCTAAAGCGAGGAAACACTTCCCAGCTTTCACAGAAAAAGCTACTACTGTCAAAAGCTGATCTTCCTTAAAGCCTTGAAAGTACACATAGCAGGTTAATGTTAATTTGTATCAATACATTTTAAAAGGTGATAACCTTTTATCAAGGTTGATACACGCTACCACAATTTGTTAATCTCCTTTTAATTTCTTAATTTTATTTTTAGTCCACCCAGTGCTCTGAGGAGTGTTATCCCATGGATGACATAAGGCAGCGATAACCTTGGCCCACATCTGACAAGAAAGCTCTTTGGCAAAGTCAACTCTCAGGGCAGCTGCCTGATTAACTGAGGGTTTTTTTCTGAGCAACAGAGGGAAGAGAAGCTTTGCCACCAGCCTATCCCTGCTGCACAGGCTCTCTCCAGTACCCACAATAGGCCAGCTTACCCTTCCCACTGCAAGGGCCCAGGGCTGACAGTACCTTGCAGACTCTGGCCACTCGAGGGACCTTCACTTTCTCATAGAAGTCATATTCTCTAGCTGTTTCCGTAAAAAAGAAGTAGATTTTATCATCCTCTCCACTCTCACTTTCTCTCAGGAAAGCGGAGCCCACAAAGTCAGGATCTAAGAACAAAATAGGCAAAAGAACAGAATGTGAGCAGAAGTGGGTCTGAGGGCAGGGGCTGGCAGGCCTGGCCTCAGTACCTGTGAGGCAAGCACTGCGACCACTGCTGCTTCCCAGGCAGCACAGCCTGCCCCTCAGGCAGCCCTCTGCATTGCAGGGCACTCACCATTCAGCCAGATGATGGAAGTCTCTGTCCGGATGCGCTCCTCCGGGTTCCCTGTTGCTCTGGAAATGATGGGCTCCGTACCAAGGAAGTTGTTGACAGTGGCAGCATAGAGGATACCATCTAGGGAGAGGTCATCAGACATGAGACACAAACATCAGTATTCACTGAGGACTCCAGGGGTGGTGACTATAGCCCAGGCTGTTCTGCGCCACAGGGAAATGTGCATCTGAACGGTGAGCAAGGGTGGCCCTTCCTTACTTCCCTCTCTTCTGAGCATCTTCCAAGCAAGTCAGTTACTGCATTGTGATCTACTCCTGGTACCATTAGCGCCACTGTGCTCATTGCACAGAGCTGAGGACGTTCATAAGGACAGACGTTGCCAGAGTTTCGGTGTGTTCAGACAGGTGCATTGAAAAGCAGGCACCCTCCCTATAAAGGGCCATACTGTGTGCAATGCCTGTGCGCAGCTCCTAACAGGCTTGCATTAGCAGCAGCCTTCAGAGGTAGGGCGAGAAAAGGCTATGAGGACTGAGCAGTCTTCCCCCTGCACTGTGAGGGAACCCGTTCCTCACTTCTACCTGTGACGCACCATTTTCTTTCAGAGCACCTATTCAGCTCCTTGCATGGAATTATTTCTGTGAAAATTTCACTTACGACTTACCAGCCATGACAGCTGCTGATGGCTGCGCAGGCTCAAAAGGGCATTTTCCCCGACCGCTTTCCTGTCGCTCCACTTTGCTGAAATTAGCCACTTTCTGTAAAGCAATCAGAGACAGGTCACTGAAGAAACCATCTCATTGCCCAGGCTCATCCGCAGGGGGACGCAAAATATTTCTCCTTTCTATAGCGTTTAATTACTGGATCGCTGTTGCTTACTGGAAGCCCTCCTCTGGGGTCCTTTGGGGAATTCAAATTAATTTATTGCCTGTTAACAAACTTTTAATTATTGATTCAGGTATTAAAAAACAAAGACAGCAAAGAATTAAACAAACACTTAGGGAAACACCTTTCCTTCCCCTTTCCCCAGGCTCAGCTTGGTCCAGCAACTCTCCTCCCTGCTCCTAGTCTCCACTCCCCCTTGGTTTTGCCTCACGCTGTGCTCCTTCCTTCCAGGGCAGTGCTGGCAGCGCAGCAGGTTCAGGTCAGCACGCAACAGTCCTTCCGCTGCTCCCTGTCTCACACCCTTTTCTTCTGCTGCTCCAGCGCAGGTTGTCCCACAGGCTGCAGTCCCCTCAGAGGTACTTCCCAAGCCCCCTTTTCACGTCTCGACCAGTGCCTGCTCTCATGCGCGCCCTCCTGCTTCTCCTCTTTGTCTCTCTTCTTCTCCCTTTGTCTCTCTTTCTGTGAGTCCTCATGTGCACCCTTCCTTGTCCCCTCCTGTGTCTTCTCTTCATCTCCTGTCTCCCTTTGTCTCCCCTTCCTTTGCTCTTTGTCTCTCCCCGCAGCAGTTACTGCCCTTTCTTAAATGTGTTTTAGCAGAGGCACCATATGGTCTTCTAATTGGCGCAAGCTGTGGTGCGGTGGGGTGTTTCCATCCCTTACAGAGCAAGCTGGAATTGGTCATGACTGATGTAGGGCAGTTTCATGACCAGAAGGTCATCCCTGCATCCCAAACCCTGCCATTTATGCCCAGTACAGAGTGTAACAAGGTTTCAGGGAGAAACTGCTGTGGGACTAGGGATCCAGACCCTGCTCCCAGCTGTCACAGAATCACCACATGAACTGGGGAGTCTTGTCATTCTACATGACAACTCCCACATCCTCATCTCAGGACAAGGTGTACCAGCAAATATTTTTAGTTCCTGTGAGGGAATTTGAGACTGGGCCAGAGAGACATGCTGGTGAGGCTCCCTCCTAAACTCTTCCTATACCAGTCCCAGCACCTGCTTCACTGAGACAGCACAACCCAGAGCGTGGCAGGCACTCCAGTTGCAACCCTCAAAATACAGGCACTTACAATGAAGCCACACTGTGGGTCGAAGGCGTGGGTCCCACAGACAAAGAGATGGGTCTCGCTGCTGAACTTCAGAAGGCGAATGTAGTTGTGACACTCGGCCTGTGGAGAGAGCACAGCCACGTGATATGGGAGGAGCGCGGAGCAGAGCCCACAGCGAAGCCCCAGGAGGTGGGGACTGCCCCCTCAGCTCAGGGAGTCAGCACTGCCCAGTCTGCCCTAGCCCAGAGATTTCAGTGTCTCCCTGCAGCACTGACATGCTGGGCCATGGCCATGGGGCTGTGTGCAAGCAAACATGTACCTAACGTCCCTGCCAGCAGAAAGCTGCCCTGGCCAGGAGAAGCTACAGACAGAAGCCACCTCTAAGACAAAAGCTTAGCCCAATTCTGAGCTTCCAAATCTAGAGCAGAAACCCCCCAACAAAGGCAAACTCCATCTCCACCCCAGCTCCTTCAGTCCTTGGCAAGCCCTGCACCAACGCCCAGCGATAACCAGTGCTGGCTGTGCGCCTCGCTCTGGGAAGGGGAATGCATGTAACCCCTCCCCAGCTCTCCTGTGTTGGCCAAGGCACCAGCTAGGTCTCTGATAGCAATCTAGCAACACCACCAACTCCAGAAACAGCAAACCCTCATAGCTTCAGCCAGAAGTCTGTGTTGTCGCCCTGCTGCTGCCCTGATCCCTTCTCCCTGCACCCCTGCTCTGCTTCCCAGCGCATGGGAAGAGGAACAGACCTTGCCCCACTTCCCACAGAAGTTTCTGCCAGGCCTTGCCTCAGCAGCCTGGAGAGGGGCTAGACCTCAACCCCTTTATGAAGGGATAAATCACGTTTTCTAAGGAAACGTTCAGAAAAGGGAAGCACCATCTTATTACAGGAATGAAAGTGTTTCACTATTGCCCTGTCAAAGATGAAAAATAAAACCAAAAAACTCACTGAACACAACACAGACCTGAACTGTAGATGATTCCCTGCACTCTGATCCTCCCTTTCTCCTCCTCCTATTGCTAGTTAAACCCACTTTTCTTAGGCCTGGTCGTAAAATTTTGGTCTGGTCCTGCAAAAACTTGCACCTGAGAAGACTGTATTCAAGTGAGGCGTCCCACTGAAGGCAGCGGACACCTCTGCATATAGCCAACCTTTTCCAGCCTGAGGATTATGCCAGTAAGGCTGGGAGCATGTTGCAAGACCTTCACTCGCCTTCACAGGGCGAGTGGCTGGAGATGCCTGAGAGAAGCCAGCAGGACACAGCACGAGCACAGCGCAGATTCCAGTGCTGTCCACCTCCCAGGCAATTCTGCTAAACAGGGCAATTTGCACAGATGGAGTTTACAAATGTTTTGCTAACACTTCTCTGAGAGCAACAAGCTCTGGCAGGGAGGCAACACCAAAACAGCTGAGGCAGATAACATCCTAAACCATTTCTGAAAAGAATACTAGGACAGAGCTTCTCTGAGGGCCATGCTTGGTACCAGGGATCCCTGTCCCAACCAATGCCACTACTGCCTACTCACTAGAAATAGAAAGCAGAAAATCTGTTTCTTTTCCAAGTTTGTCCATTCAGTGCCTCAACTTTTCTAAACGTTCAACCATCCAGAGGTGCTTTTCCTTCTTGGCTTTTTGCCCAAAAGGACTTTGGTTTTGAGCAAATGCAGTTTTGAAAATAAAAATTCCTTTTTAGTAACTTTTCTGCCTGTGTTGAGAAAGCCAAGAGAAGCAGAAACATTGTTGCATCATACTTCCCCCAGGGAAAGGACTGGCATGAGGAACACCGGTCTAGTTGGGACCACACTTTGTCAGGCCTTGTCACTGTCTGCCCTAGCAGAGACCCCCTTCTAGCTCCTGTAATAAATATATCAAGTCCAGCCTGAAGTTACTTAAGCCTTTTGCGCCCCCTGCAGAAATGAGGGTTTTGGCAGAGCATGAATTTCTGAAGGTATTTCTGAACAGACACTAGTTCAAAAAAAACCTTCACACAAGTTCAGACTGTGGTACTTTCCATTATTACCTTCCGGACTATAGGTGACCAAACACAGAGGAATAACCACTAAACAAGGCAGTTCCTTAACACAAGTAAATTAAGGACACAAGTGCAAACTCTCCAAAGCAGCAGGACAAAAAGAATGGTTTCAAGACACTTACTTGGCTAGTCAATGACACCATAAAATCCAAAAAACAGCCCACAGAAAGCACCACAGTAGGTTGGCTACCAAAAATAAACAGTGAAGAATAGTGCAAACAGATGGGAAAAGATCACAGAGGCTAACCCACACCGAGAGATATAACCAGAAGGGAGGCGAGCACATAAGTAGTAAAGGAAAAATCCATTGAATTATTGCCACTAGTAAAAGGTAAAGTTACTGAACAATGATACTGAGAAAGCTTATTTTTAAATATCTTTCTTTCTTTAGCATGCACTAAAAGGATTAGTCATGATAAAACAAATAAAATTATCAATATCAACAAACTAGTAAGAATTAAGGTTGCAATAGAGAAAGAGCAGGTTAGATAGTGCTTTGGCGAATTAGACATTTTCAGCTTGTCAGGGCCAGCTTAAATTTATCTTGGGGTATACCGAAAACTTGCTGAAGAACTAGGAATACCACAGCTTGTGAAAAGCAAAACATGTACAGATAGACAGAAACAGAGCAAACACAGTACTTATTTTGAAGGAGGGAGAGCTGAAGAATTCCTGGCCAATTAAACTGCAATACTTGAGAGAATACTGAAACAAACACTGTAAGTACCTAAATGAAAACATGAAAATGAATAATAGGCAACATAAACAGCATGATTGGCTTGATGTGATTTGTTCTTGTCATGTTTCCTTCTGTCACAGGGTAATATACTTCGTGAGGAGGACAGAAGTTGTGTCAAGTAGTTCAGTATTAAGGCTTCTGACATGTTCTGACATGATGCTTTCAAACAAGCAAGTGAAACACCTTGCAACCTAAAAAAGATTGCAAGAGGGGCACAGAATTAGTTAGAAAACAACTTTCAAAACAACTACTAATGACTTATCAAGCTGGAGGGATGGAACCTCTCATGCTCACTGTTAACACTGGCAACTCAGTGAAGGCATGCAGACAGGTTTGTTAAATACAGAGACGACAATGAGCAGAAGTAGTCTGAAGCAGTAATCAAATAGCTTTGCAGGTTGAGGCTAGCTGTGAGTAAAAAGGTCATGCTGGAATACAAGGCCTCAGAACTAGCGACAGCCTCTGATGGGAACCAGAGGTGTGATGAAAACTGTTCAGTGGCAGAAGCATGGTGTGAGCACTAACTGGGTAATGTCATTGCTCAGGTATGCAAACTGCCTGTGGTTAGTTAGGAGTAGATAAGGGCAGCAAGGCTAAAGTAGGTTAATTCTGTCCCAAAAGCATATAATGGAAACGAAGTATTACCAGCATGAAGCAGAGGGTTAGTAGGGAGTCCTAGGAGGCAAATCTGCCTTCACAGAGTCACAGAACTGTTGAGTTTGGAAGGGACCTCTGGAGATCGTGTGGTCCAACCCCCCTGCTCAAAGCAGCGTCTGCTACAGCAGGTTGCCCAGGACGTAGTCCAGATAGCTTTTGAATATTTCCAAAGATGGACATGCCACAACCTCTCTGGGCAACCTGCTCCAGTGTTTGATCACCCTCACCATAAAAAAAGGGGTTTTCATTCGTGTTTAAATGGAATTTCTTGTATTTTTATTTGTGCCCGTTGCCTCTCGTCCTGTTACTCGGCACCACTGAGAAGAGTTTGGCTCCATCTTTGCACCCTCCCATCAGGTATTTACACACACTGATAGGATCCTCCCTGAGCATGCTCTTCTCCAGGCTAAACAGTCCCAGCGCTCTCAGCCTCTCCTCACATGACAGACGCTCCAGTCCCTTAATCATCTCCATAGCCCTCCACTGAACTTGCTCCAGTATGTCCCTGTCCTTCTCGTACTGGGGAGCCCAGACCTGAGGATTACTTTGCTCTAGGGCTGCACTGGACGATCCTGCCCAGTCGCTCTACAGCGGGGAGCTCTGCCAGACCAGCCAGACCCCTGCTCTCACTGAAGGGTATTTCCCACCTGGCATCTCTTGCCAGAGAAGAACAATTTCTTTCTCCCATTCTGAAACTGCATTTTTCAGGTGGACTTCCTCAGTTCAGCCTCCCAGGTTTCAGGCCTGTTTTACAGAGCCATCCTTAAATTCACTCGCTTCCTCCATGACTGAACATCTCCAGTCTTTAGAAGACAGCTCTCCTAAATCCAAAATTTGCCCAAAGGAAGGGGAACCGGCCCATAACAGCTATGTCAGAGCCCAGTTCTTCTTACCAAGCTCATCAGTCTGTAAAAGGCCCAAAGAAATTAAACACTCCTAAGTTTTCACATATGTAGCCAGTTAAACAGATAAGAAACAAAACGGAAACATAAGGTCACTTATCAAAGATTTGATTCCCCCCCCCACTTTTTTTTTTTTTTTTTTTTTTTTTTTTTTTTTTTTTTTTTTTTTTTTTTTTTTTTTTTTTTTTTTTTTTTTTTTTTTTTTTTTTTTTTTTTTTTTTTTTTTTTTTAAAGTTCACTAATAAATACATAGTTGTTCTAAACAGCCAGTCCTGAAGTTGATGAAGGGCAGCAGAGGGATCCCACAACAAGGAATGGACCACAGAACGGCTGGGTATATTAAGCTCATGTAAGTGAAAGCAGCACACATGGACTCAGAGGAAAACCTCGCATATCAGCTGACGTCACATATGCACCAACACCACCACCATCCCCAAACCGCCCAAGTCAAATGGTAAGAATTAACAGGAAAGAAAAAACAATACATAAAGTATCATTTTGCTGCAGCATAATGGACAGTCTGATCACATTAGGTCCTGCTTACAGTCCCATCCACCTATCAAGGAAAAAGGTAATAACAGAACCAGAAAAGATCTGCAAAAGGTGAAGACTGAAAAGTAACATTAACAACTGCCCTTCATGATGCAAGAATTAGAGTGCATGACTGAAAGATTTCAGTCTCCCACTGAAGGGCACTTTGCTTCAGCTTGAAATCCTTCAGTGCAGGATACTTTCAGAAGTCTCCTTTATTCCCCCACGGATGGCTACTCCTCACAACAGTTAGTTACACAGGTTAAGAGGACAAATATGGTTCTGCAGGAATCCCACCAGACTTTCATGGAAAAGAGATGACAGGCTGTTTGATAAGATATACTTTCCCTTTCCACTTCAGTGGGGACCTAAGCTAAAGCATCACTGTTTCAGAGCCCCAAATCAACTCTTCTATTGTTTGGTCCCCATCTAACCATATCCAGCTCATGTCACCAGGGCTTTGGACGTTCAGCTGTTAGCACAAATTTAGTGCACTCCAGGCTGCTGCAACTTCCCTGATATTCCAAAACTTACAAAAAAATTTTAGCTAGACATTTCTCTGGAATTTCTCCAGAAATTCCTCAGGCATTTCTCTGAGGATTCTTGAGTACAAGTGACCTAGGACCAGATTTAAAAAGCCAGACTGACAAAAGATTTAACATTCTCCCAAGGTTAATGGACTGTAAGATACCAGTATTACATTAAGGTGATCAAGTTAGTCATCCTGATCACGGCCTGTCTTACCAAAGGTAGGGCTCAGATGACAGCAGGAAGACAATGCAATGACAGCTCCATCAGCAACAGTTTGCTTAAGAGGCCCATGAAATTTGAGCGAGGAGGGAAGGGAGGTAGCCTTGGACCAGCCGGAAGAAGATAGTTTAAAGCATGCAGAGGAACAAAGAGGATGTGACAGACTCTGGAGCAGAGCAGGAGTGAAGGAGTGGAGAGATGCAGGTCCAGGTTTGACACACTACGATGTACTGCCCTAGTAGCTAGGCTAGCACAAGTATCTCCAGGAGGAAGCGTGGTTAGAGGGAAGGGTTTTGGCACATAGCACACAAAGAAAAACCTTCTGATGATGTCTCTTTCTTCCTCCTCACCCTGAGCCAAACAGTAGCAGCTCTCTTGGGGACACACACCCATACGTTGTCTGTGTGAAGAGTCCTACAGACTCGTCTGTACAGAGTCCTACCACAGACTCATGAATCCAGACAACCCCCCCACTATGTGTACACAAGGTCTCCCACCCACAGCACTGGCATCCTGCAGAGAGGTATCCATGCAAGGGCTGCCTCCGCTGCAGTACTGATCACCCTCCCGCCCCTTTCCCATTTGGGTACTTGCCTCTTTTTTCCCCTTCATTGTACAGGAGATTCGATGATTCTCGGGCACTTTCCAGGAGATCTGAAAAACAGCAAGACACCCCTGTATCCACTACCATTCAGTATGAGGCTGCATCCACAACAGGCTGCTCAAGCTGGCCAGTATCAGGACCTGATGCGCCTCTCTGCACAGACACACAGAAAAGCTTCCCTGCCCCAGCTTGCAGCTGCAGACAAGTTGCACATAAAGAGGAGCTCAGCAAGAGAGACTGTTCTCTTCCTGCATGCACTCCTGAGCCATTGCCCTTCTGGCACCATGTAACAGAGGGCTGGCAGCACCACCAGAATAATGGGATGACAGTGGAAAAGTTTCAGAAGGGACTGCCCTGGCTGCAGAAAAGCAGGGATGGAGAAGTGATCACTTTGGACTCTAGGAAGATGAGTCTGGCAAATCCGGCAGGAAGGATCTCCCCAGAAGGAGGAGAACAAGAAAGCTGGACCTGAGAAGTACATCAAAGAGTCCCCCTGCCTGCATTTCATCAAGTCTATCAAGTCTAAGTTATTGCTGTGCAGAGCTTCCTCCTATAGCTGTGAAGAGTAACAGTCATTTGACCAAATTCAGGCATCTTCATCTATGCAGGCTCTCTTTATCCAGACGATTCAAAGAAAGACCAGACACACTGTTTTCACCCAGGCAAATTCTGGGCAAAGCATGAAAGTGGACAGAAACGACTGCTGGAGTGGTGTGGCAAGTCATGAAGATTTCAGATGAGTTATTGGGGAAAAAAAAAAAGCTTTGGCTGGATTTTTAATTGTTTTCTTTAGGTCTTAGGGTTTTAAGAAAGTCAAATGTATAACTGAACTTAACAGCACCATCGGATTCGGCAGTGCAGTCGAAGGGCAGAGGAGGTAAAAGAGGAAAGGAAAAGCAGGCTCTTTGGAGCTGGGAGGCAGTGGCAGTGTGCATTCCCAAAGGGAGTAGAAGAGGTTGGAAGCAAGGGATGGAGAATTCAAAGGTCAAGGGCTGACAGTGACTCTACTTACCATGCAGTCAACTGAGGAAGGAGAGTGCCTCCAAGGGAGGGGAAAACCTACAAGTATATTCCTCAGAGAGCTATCTACATGACTACATGCAGAGAAATACACTGCTGTTGGGCACCTTTTCCTTCAAAGTAATAACGGACACAAACTTCGTTTGAAATCCCCTGCATGTTGCCTTTAATTTTCCTACCCCAAGGCTGTAGCAGAGCTGTCTCGCTTGTGTCTAGCTATTCCTGTCAGTTTTATCTTGGCACAGTGCTGGGCATTTCATCTGGAAGTGTGAGGGACAGAAGAGCGACAGTCACTTGGGAGAGACCTTGGAAAAGAGGGTGTCATTTCCAAGCCAGCTCTCTCGTGATGTCCTGAGGACTTCCTTCCAAAACTCATTTTGCTTCTCTAACACTGCTCGTCACAAGCCCCAGATAAGCTGTTCCAGGACTGCAGCTATCACAATAGGCAAGATCTCATCCTGACACAGCTGAGGCACGTGTCATTCATTGCCTAGAAAGTTAGAATTAACACTTTTAAGTTTGCACTGAAGATATGCAAAGGGACTTGATGTGTCCTTTGCAGTTTGAACAGAAGAACTCTCTTTACCCAAAACCTGAGGTCATCTTCTCATTCCACTTCAGCTCTGGCAACTGATCCAGCAAGGATTACTACAGCAAGATCCTTACCCAGGAAAAAAGGCCAGGATTTTCTAGCAACCTTGTGTTAAGGAAGCTCCTTTTCAAATAAAACCTACAAGCAAGTATTAGGGAACTCTTGTTTGCTTTTTGTGGTCTTTAACAAGTAATGCAGAGGTAAGGATCACTGCTGGACATTCAGTGCAGGCATTCATTCCTCTTCTCATAGTTCTGGAGATGATCTATTTGATCCATACTGGTGCTGAGCCACTAATCTCACAGGTCAACCACTGTCTTGAAGTTCCCCGAGCAAGAACCTCATCCATACCCATAGCTCATCACTGAATGGTGCAGCTGCTTCTGCACTGTGCCCTGACTCTACGGGGCCCCCAGGAGGCTGACTGCTGTCATGTTTGGACAGAGTTTAGCAGTTGCTACTTGCTTAGTTATTTAGGGAGATGGAAGAGTAATTATAAGGCTCTTTATGACTAGGTGGTGTCTCTACAGGAAGTGGACAAACATTGACAGAGCTTACAAGCCTGCATTTTTGAAGGACTATCCCAGAGTATTGGTACTCTTTTGCTGGAGTCAAAGGCTAGAGGTAACTCCATAGCCAGTCAACCAGTGAAGTCTGCAAACAGTTCCTCACACTAGTGGGTGCTTGGATGTCTCCGGATGCCCAGCTGCTTCCCTCTGTGAGCTAGTTCTGTGCGCTTAAATCTGCTGTGTGGGTACAGAGATCTTTGCTTTTTCCTACTGCCACGGCTCTGGCTGATAAATTGTTTGCGTTGCTGGCAGACAGGCACAGATTTTTCTTGCATCAGGGGAGCGCTAGCATAAATATCAACCTCTACCCACTGCAGCCTGCCCCTTTTGCGTGCCCACCCTGGTATATCATCATAGATGCAACCTTCCCCCTGCCCAGACACACAGCTTACCCACATCAGGGCAGTCCAAATACACACGCTCTACCCAGACAATCCTTCAATATGACTGATACATATGGTCCCCAAGACCTAGCCATGTTCTCACCATCTTGGGATGCTGGCTCACTGAATCCAGGGATAAGGCGAAGACAGCATTCTTGGCTCCCACATACAACGTCCTGGACTGTGGTGCCACGAGAAAGACTGTGTAGTTAAAAATGGATTCCTGGGAGAAGCGATGAACCATCTGTTGCACCTCTGCAATCAAAAAGAGCACGTTACTATCTATCCTACAGCCTGGCTTTACCCATCAGCACAAATTGGCCCACGTGAGCCAGGGTGACAAGGGCACAAGCAACATGCTCAGCTTTGCTCCCTTCCTTCCCCCCGCACCCCAAAAGAAAAAGAAACAATGCAGAACTTTGCCCTAACTCAGACATGCCTGTCTGAGCTGGGCACCCATACTCCCTTTTTAACCAACGGGCAGAAAGGCACCTCTGCAGAACTAGTTATATCAGCTGCCCTAGAGACTTAGATCTAGGTACATAGGTGTAGGAAGAGCCCCCTCCCACAGTCTGAAATCCCCAGGAATTGACTCCACTTGTGTAGTGTCAGAGTTACAGTGTACGTGGCAATCCCTACTCAGCTCCCTGGCAGGCTAGCACTAGGAAAAGTGGAAGAACAGTTGCAAAGGAGGAAATATCCCAATATCTCCCCCAGCCTTGTCCTGGATTTTGCCCAGGTCACCTCCATTTCCATCCCGCCTTCCTCCACTCTCTCTGTTCCCAATAGCTCTCAGTCCTAGACAAAAATATGCACAAATGCAAACAAAGCTGGTACGTACTCCACCCTGAACCAAGCGTGACCGAACACGTCAACAAACACTGAGGCTGCCCACACCTCCATGCACTGTGAACATCAGGGGAAGGCCACTGGCAGATGTGACTGTGGGCAGAACTTTAAGAGTAGAAAAAGCCAAACTGTCCACTAGCAACAGCATGTGCCACTGAACTTAACCTAATGCAGCTACAACAGAGCTTGCAGGGAGCGCTGAGCATCCCTTGCTTCTCGTGGGCATCTGACAGAGAAGCCTGAGAAAGATTTCATTCCCAACCACTCAGTCTCCATCTGACAGCAACAAAGCGGACAAGCAGCTTTGCTCCTTCCACAGCTACAGATGAGAAACATTCCATGTCCGTCTTTCCCATGCAGTGCTAATAGCACTGACAAGGCAGCTCAGGGTCTTGCACCTGCCTAGCCCAGAAGAAGAAATAGGAGAGTGATGCTAACCCAAAGACACCAACAAGATCCTGCAGCTCAGAGCCCCACTGTGCTCAGCCTGTATGAGTTCTGATAGGCACCACACAGGCAAGTGTGGGACTCAGGATGGTGCAGCCCATAGAAGCGGGGTTTGCTCTGGGGTGCTCCCCAAGAGTTGAGGAACCTCAGCTGCACCACAGCCAGAGCCACCATACTGTGGGGTTGCTGTAGCCCTCCAGTGACCCCATGAGTGCAGAGCAAACCTAGTCAGCAAAGGAGAAGTGACATCGCAGACTCGCACTCTAAGCATCTAGGTACCTTGGAATTTCATACTGATATCTGTTGAACGTGTGTACTGTTATCTATTGACCATCCTGTTGGTATCCATATTGTTACCGACTGAGGACATCTCTTCCATTGTCCAACTACGGTCTGGCACCGATGGACTGAATAACGAACCAAGCCCGGGAAGGATAAAAGAGAGTAAGCCATGTACCTCTGCGTGGACTCAGACTCACCATCAGCTGGCCTGTGGAGCCGACAACCCACCCATCAGCGGGGACACCCCTGGTGCCAGCTGCCAGGGAGAACCTGAATCCTCTTAGCACAGCTCGAGCGCCGTGAGAACAATTCGGGGAAAACTATACTGGAGGGGTGGCCCATAAGGACAAGGAAAGGGCGAGAGCAGTCATTATACCGTGCATCCGAGAACAGTCATTGTACTGTGCTTCCGTGGCTTAACCATAGAGCTCTGATATGTGCATTCTGTTTTTAGTTCTTTACTATACTTCTTAGCTTTGTTATACTTGTAGATTGTCTGTTGTTAATTGTTTAGTGTTGTCCAGTGTCCGTCATATGTGTAGAACTGCTTAGCTCTAATAAATTCTTATATCTGACAAACGATGATCTCTCGAGTTCAGTGCAACTAACCCCAGGATCCAAAAGAATCCCGGACACCCCTCTAGTGGCACGTCACAGTTCCAAGCGAGATATGGCCCCTGCACCAAAAGGCCTGCCAGGTAATGGGGAAAATGGCAATATGGAACTGATCGGCAGCACCCCAGTCTCCAAGAACAAGCTCATGCTAGGACTCTGCATTTAAATAGGTCCATATCGTTTTGTCTTGGGGTACGCACAAGAGGAAAACAGTGAAAAAGTGCTAGGGAGGAGAGTCTCAGCAAGGGCTGGCATGCAGTGACACAAAGCATCAAGGAGGCCCTTGGGAGTAGAGCGTGAATATGCTGAGTGGAAGAAGCAAGAGCTCTGGGACCAAATCAGGCCAGAATATTTCTGCCTTATCAGTACCCGGTTGGTTTCTCCCCAGTTTCTTCCCCAAACCTACAGAGTCAGAGGTATAAGCACTTGTTCCTGCCTCTGGAAATGCAGGAGCAGTAACTGTGGCAACGCTAGTTAGAAGGTGACTCTGGAGGTCTTTAATACAGCCTCCTGATCCAAGGGGAGCTATCAACCAACACTAAACCAGATTAGCCATGCCTTTGTCTAGTTGACTCTTGGAAACCTCCAAGGATGGCAATTCTACTTCCTCTCTGGATAATCTGCTGTACTGCTATGCTACCCTCCAGTGTTCCTAGAGGCCACATTGGCCTTCCAGGAGCAGGGGAAGACCGCATTAAAATGGACTTGCCTGTAAACCTGACCCTGGGCCAGCTCTGAAGTGAAGGACTAGCACTTTTGGTCAATCAAGTCTGTTGCCTCCAAAAGTAGAAGGATCTAAATGAAGCACGCAGCAGACAAATCCTTCTGGCTGCAATCCAGGACAAGCAGAGAAGTCACAGGAACCAGAACATCTTCCTTCTAAGCTGCAGGGGTTAGTCTGGAGGTTGAAGTCCAACAAGGAAGGGGAAGCACTTTCCTAGGAAGCAGTAATCAGTTCTCCAGTGAGAACATTGCTTCACACTTCCCATTCACAGTCTGGCAACATACAACTCAGCAGCTGTCTGCCAACAAGTGCAGTGAGCCCAAGACACAAGCCATGGACATAGCATTCTTTCTTGGGCCAGTTCCAGAGCCTGACTGCTTTTGAGAGAGAAGAGGGGAGATCTGCAACTGCACAGTCCTGTCTGTTGCTAGTATTTAATCTTTGGAGGTAACAATAGCACTGACATGGGTTCAGAAGAGAAATAAACAAGGCAAGTTTGAGGCACAGAACTTGCTTCAGTAGAACTGCAGAAGCTCATTACTTGGCTAAGATCTAGTCACTTCCTCCATAGGTAGAAAGAGATCTTATGTAACAAGTTGAGGGATAACAAAGCGCCAGACTAGACACTGGACTTGAAACAAACTCATCACAAAATTAAAGTTTTTAGTAGCAAAGACAATGCACTACTGGGACAACTACCCTTGGAACACAGTTCATTTTCCAGCCTCTCGAACTCTTCAAATCAAGACTATTTTATTAGTATTTCTACAGCTTGGTGAGTAATCAGTGATCTGGGGGCAGAAAACGGAAACAGTTATCAAACTTGACTTAATGAAAGCAATCAGGCTGGACACAGTGATTCCCAGTCTTTAACAGACTAAGAGTGCAAAATAAAGACCGTATGTTATTGTCCATCTCAAGAGCAGCAGCATGCCTGCATGTTACGAAGCATTGTGACAGGCTTACCTGTCACCTCCTTCCCTGCCTTTAACCTGAGCAGCTGCTGCAGGTCCAAGTTTGTGAAGACCAGGCTAACAGATGACTCTGAATTGAGTCAGCTAGTCACAGTCAAGGGGGCGAACCCTACCTACATCACAGCAGCACAACTAGCTTATGCAGAGCCTGAAGCGTAGCCACCTCTGCTTGTACAGGACAGCATGAGAAGCTGCAGCTGCACCACTTCGTTTCTCTGGTAGCAGTATGGATATGATTCACAGAGTGTGATCACACAGTTCCCCAAATATGAGTGGTGGCAGCTGATTGAGAACTCTGGGTTGATATGGATTAAATACAAAATTCAAGAGGGAAAAAGATGTCAGTGACCTATTAAAAAACCCTGCATTTGCCTTGCATGGGTTTCCTTTAAAAAAATTGCAGTTTGCAAAGGACTAAGGGTAAAGAAAGGACAAATCAGCAGGGTAAAACACATTGTGCTAATTACGCCCAGGTTGGAGGCTAGTGGCAACAGTGATATTAGTATTTGATCTTCCTTTAAGGGACCGGGGCAAAGGATAGTAAGAGCCATCAGCCTTGTTTGGTCCCAGTCATCACAAGAACGGAATTGTTTGAGCAGGCAAACTAGCACTTTGCTAGACTCTATCCTTCCTCTTTGATAGTCTCAACAGTGGCTCTCGCAGCCAGGGGAGCACCAGAAGCAAAACCACCCTCACAGGCGATCCTGCACCACCACCGCTGACAGTCAGCACAAGGCCAGAGTGCAGTATCCTCAGCCCCAGCACAAATACGCAACAGGGCTTGAGCTCATCAGCAGAAAGCAAGTAACAGCTCCTCACCTCGCTCATACCTTGGCCAGAGAATTAAGCCTACAGCCATCAGCAGGCAGGAGCGCACGACGCCCAGCAAAAAGCAGGAAGGAGCGCACGTCGCCCAGCAGAGCCTGCTGCTGCAGGGATCTGCACGCATTGGGATTCTTGCCACTGCCTGCAGGGCGGGGAGACCACTAGCCCTCCAGGGCACTGGCTTTTCCCAGAAGTGGAAGAAAACATGCTCCTCTTTGTCAAGAGGCATTAAGCCAAGTAACAGCTCCAAGACACAAACATATTTTTAAGCTGTCCTCATAACCGTTTAAAAGCTCAGATGTGCAAAGGCTGGACTGCACTAACCCAATCAGTTTTCACAAAGCCCTTGTTGCAGCCTTCCCTGGCTGGATGCCTTGCTTGTTCTGGGAGCACACAGAAACCTTTGTCTTGGACAGAGAGGAACGTGCAGCCCTTGTGGCTGGACAAGTTTAGAGGTCAGAAACATGTGGTGAAGTACTGTGGCAGCATTCAGCTCTGAGGTCTGGCAACCCAGCTCCCTGCAGTTCAGATCAAAGAGG